AAATTCATAAAATTATTTTGAAGAATAGCAGCTTTTTTCCCCCTACATAGTGACTTTCATGACTAAGCCTACTCCCTAAAAAATATTTTTTCAAGCATTCTGATGACTTTCTGTAAGATTCAGAAAGACTGCATTTCAAACACATTCTTTCTTAATAATTCAGAAATACTTTCTCAGTGTTATCAACTTTCTCAGCCTAAGGTTTAATTGCATTCTGACCTCTTTTAATTCAGTAACATATATTTAAAAATGGAAGTCCTTTTCAGACCTGAACTATGAGCTTTTATTATTCATAGCTTGGTATGAGATTGTGCAAAAGAATATATTACTACATTTTGAAGTGAAATTGTGATATACATAGGCTAAGAGAGAACTGCAGGATCTCACATAAGTAGTTAAAGGGCTTATAAATATTTTAACACATTATTTTTCTACTTTCTACTATTATCTAAGTCTAAAATTGACAACAATTTATGCTACAAACTTTTTTTTATTTGATACACGTCAGAAAGACCTTTTCAAACTGTACCATTATTATTAATTCTCCCTTAGTGGGTGAAACCAAAGGCTTCAAAATTGGAAAGACCCTTGAACATTTGTTGAATAATACAACCAAAGAACGTTATTATTTCTAGATCCTAAAAGCTACTGCTTTATAAAAAAATATGAGTATTATGTAATTGCAGCAATTTTAAGGAATTAATATTGATACAGTTCTATTTATTGACCACTGATGGAGCATAAAAACAAAGAATTTAAATTAGATATTTAAAACATTACACTGAGTGTGTGCCATTTAGCAAAGAATTCACTGACTGCTAGTAGACCCTGTGACTGGGGATGAAAAAACTTGAATCCATTTCATAGGGATTCTTTCACTTTAAATGTAATGAAAAACAGAAATTTGTGTAGCGAGTTACAAAGATAGTGGGTTACTTTTCTTTAACAAGTCATCCTCTATATCCACCTTTTGAAAACGACAACTTTTCTTCAGTTTTGAAAACCAAGCAACATAAACATGATTACAGCCTCTAGCACCAGAGGATTTTAGTTTGGTCTTACCAAATCTTTCGACATTGTGGTTCTTATTTTTTTTCCTCTGAATAGTATTCTTTAGAACTAGGTTCAGTTTCCTGTTCTTGTATGTAATGATTTACATGTTGTAAATACATTTCATTTTTATCTGTTCATAAGTTTTCTTCCATTAGGTTGAAACAGATTTATGTGAACTTGCAATAATAGTAAAACTTACCAAGTAGAATGCCAGTATTAAAGGAATCTTCAAAGAGATGCCTTTCTAAACTTAAAGACTTAGTTTGAGAATTCACATAGAAGATACATCTTGCTTTAATGATCTTTTAGTGAGATCTAACTGGCTTTTGGTTCCTTTTCTTTTAAAGAAAACACACTGAGGTAAACACCATGGTTTACTTGCACAGTTTAATCTTTACTATGTTTAGGATTAATTTGGAGTAAGAATGCCTCCTTCTAAATTTAGTGCATTTTGGAAATAGTTAAGCTAAACAACAAGAACAACGTACTGTTATTTCAGAATTGAAGAATCAACACGTGCAGTTATTCAGAAATAGTTCTGAATAGTTCCTGAACTTTAAATTTCTCTCTTATCTGGGCCTATGACCATAGTTATAAGTAGCCAGCCCTTACAGAAAATTAATCATGGACTTAAAATTAGAGATATGCAGCACTGTTACAAAATTAAGGGTCACTTGTGCCTTTTTTTTTTTTTTTTTTACGTATTTACACAATCCACGGATATTAACATCTATCATATTCTTCTGCTCTAGCTGAAAATGACTGTACTCTGTCCACAGATTTACAATATAGCGAACAAGAATTCAAAGTATTTTCAAAAAAAGATTTTATCATCTCTGACAATTATGGTTGTTTTGGTTTGGGTTGGTTTTTTTTTTCAGTAATTATGAAATGCAAACAAAACCCAACTGTTTATTTTGCAGGAAAGAACAAAATCCTGTAGAATTTGTCTTTATCAGAAAAAAATCATGGTTTTGAGAACCCCCTGCATTTTCGTATCTCATGCACCAACTGGTAAACAAAATAACAGTGAAATGAACCCTGACATACACTACATCTAAACAGAGCAAAAAAACCCCTCACATTAAAACACTGATATTGTGCAATTATAGCAGGATTAAAATATCACTGTTACCATTTATTTATTCTTTTTATCCTTTCACCAGAATCACAATTCATGCAAAGAAAATAGTTCAGACAAAATTTCATGGAACATTTTGCCTAGACACATTTCATTATTAAAGTACTTATGATTTTTATCAATTTAAGCAGTATTGAGTAAAATATAGTTCTAAAAAAAAACCCCTTATTTAATCAGATTTACAAATAAATAGAGTGGACTGATGAAATTAGCCTTTAGAGGTATGTTTTGTATTTTGACTAGTTGCATGTCCTTAAAACAAATGAAAAAAACAGACCTTACTTTATCTGCACCTTTAAATATTAGCTAATGATGAACAACATTCTCACCGTTTTGCAGTGGTGGGCAGCCTCTAAGACTTTAGGAGCTATCTAATGTAAAATTTGAACTAGGAAACTCCTATTTGCCTGCTTCATCTACTTAAACTGCACAATAATCAATGATGGTTGCATGCCAGATTAAACAGCCTCAAGTAATTCTACCACTCAGTATTGTTTTCTTGAGTGCCTGCCACAGAACTCAGTTTGGATTGATTTGTAACTAAATCAAATGGCATAGAATAAGGGAGATACGGTTGGACCCTGACAGGCAGTAATGTAAGAATGGAATAGACCACTACTATGCTGCCTTCTTGTATGCATGCTGAAGTACTGATAATATGTTTTGAAAGAAAGGATTAACAACAATAGCAAAAGCAACTGTTGCATGAAACCTTGGTCCTACATTGGACTAGCTAGCTAGCTAACTAGCCAATGTTCTACTGTGGTAAGGAGACACTAGGGAAACACTTGGTCTATAAGATTGCAAATTGTGTTAAGAAAAAAATACATGCTGGATCTTTGCATTTAGGTTATATGGATGCATGATGATCTTTGCATCCAAATACATGCTGGATCATGCAATGGCTACAGACTCTGCCACTGTGACTTTCCTAAGGTAGTATGGTTTTGAACAATTCAAACTGATGCTGGGAGCAAACACTTTAGACATTCAGCTGTGGTTGTAAGGCTTGTAGATAGAATAGCAAAATGTCACAGTCACAGAACAGCTCAAGTTTGAAGGGACTCATAAAGATCATCAAGTCCAACTCCCTACTTCTTGCAGGACTACCTACAACTGAATCACATGACTAAAGAGTGTTGTCCAGATGCTGACAGGCTTGGTGCTGTGACTGCTTCCCTGGGAAGCCTTTCAGTGACCAACCACCCTCTCAGTGAAGAGCCACTTCCTAATGTCCCATCTGATCTGAACTTCCCCTGATGCAGCTTCATTCCATTTCCTCATGTTCTAAGTCAACTAAGCAGTCACTAGCTTCATCTAGTGGAATGCTAGTCCTTATGATGTAAATACATGCATCAAATAGCAATTAAAATTAGGTAAATTGTCTGAACCTCTCAGTCTAATTTTGAGAAATTAGAACTTATAATGCCTCAAGATAAAAAACTAAATTCTGCAGGTTGTTTGCAGTTGCAGTTGCAAATCACCTTTGGGTCTTACCTGGTGATGAAAGATTAGAGTGCAGACTCATGTTGTAAACCTGTGAGTTTTAGTCCAGAAAGGACATTTCTAGGGTTACCTAAAGACCAGCTGCACTGGAATCTCATTCAGATTATGAGTAAAGTTCTGTTGGACAGATTCCCTTTGCTGCAAGAACTATTAATTATTCCTTCCTCTTTATTCAATAAGCTTTTATATTCAATAAGGCAGCTAGAAAAGCTACCTTAAAATCTAGTTACTAACAAATTGCATAGTACCACTTACCGCAGTATAGGTCTAATCTTGTTGGCTTCATCAGTAGAATCAGCTTTAAAATTGCAAAATCCCTCCTTTTTGTGTTGAATTAACACAGCTACATTTAAAATTGATATTGCGTTCTTGGCATAAAAAATTTAAAACAATCTGCAAATCTGACATATTTTGCTCATACATATAATTCATTTTCTGTAACTATCACTGCTCCCAGCAAAATCTCATTGTAGACCAATAAATAACACACACACACACACAAAAAAGTAATTCATGATAACCAAAATAATTAAATAGTAGGAGCAGGTTAAAGATCAGCATTCATTTTTCAAATTAAATTTAAAAGTCTGCGGTAGTTACTTAGAAGATTGGCAAGTTTTACAAATAGCATCACCAAGCCTTTTAGAGAGAAACACAGCAGCATTAGGATGGAGTCATTAGGCAATACATTTATTTTGAAGCCAATTAACCTTTTGTCAGAGAAATGTCGGAGCTGTAATGGTTTCAGCAGTGGAGGTCAGCCTGTAACAGAGGCACGTATGACAGCGATTATGCTGTCTGACATATGCTGTAGACTGAGAGTACAGCTGTGGAATGAGAATCTGCCTTCGTTTGTATTCTGCTCTGCATTTTCAGGGAGCAGGCAATCTTGACCTATCCATTTAGGTTATTAAAGCTTCTATTTGGAAGTGTCCTGCAGGAAGGTGAAATCTGGGGGAGATAAATGGCTGCTGCTCACTGTATCCAGCCACTTCCATCATTTGATGGACTGCCTGAAACAGGCTGCATTGCTAGATCCTCATAAAAACAGAGATGAATTGGGCAGGAAACAATTCTCTAAGGCAAAGCAACTCTGTCATCTTCCTTTTTGCAGCATATAATTTAATTGTTAGCCAAGGTAGACAGCTGACTCAGGGGCCTTTCTCTAATGGCTTCTCCACCATCTTCCATTTGCTAAGAAATTATTTCAGTTTATTTACTTACAAGGTAACTTTGTTTGACAATGAGAGATGTCACTTCAATAAGCTCAGCTGGTTGTCACAGCTGTGCCATGACTTACCTTCCAGGCGATTTTGTTTCCTTTAGTATCATGATCAAGGGCAATTGGGAGGTCTCCTCGCTCATAAAACTTGCGGAATACTGTGGGCTTTGGTGGTCTTTCCTTAAATGCTCCTGCAGATGGGGGCCCTCTTACCTTAAAAAAATAAGACCAAACAAAACAAAAACCCCCATAGTTCAGTGGTAATATATTTTTAGAAAAAGCCTAATTTATATGGCTCCAACCAGAAACAGATAAGAAAGAATAATAAAATTGATCTCCAAAATCATAATTTGGTTTCTTCTTCATATGTTATATTTCCGTTCTTTGAAAGTACACTTCAGCAATGACCTACAGGTTTGTTAACTGCTGGTTTTTTTAACTACCACTTTCAGATTGTTCCATAAAACCCATTTCTATTTCAAAGTAGCCATCTCTATTACTGGAGCATTTTTAAGCAGAACACCAAGAGCATCACTGACACCATATTGACATTATGCAGTAGAAGAAGTTGGAAAATTAAGCATTTCTTCTTTTCTGTTTGTTTCTTTTTAGAAGTCATTTGACCCAATTTCTGTCTAACTATCCTCAAATTCCATTGTCCTTCCCTGGTCATTACCTAATCTCTTCATTGTATCCCTTCCTCAGCTACTGCAGATCTGGCTTTCATATGACTTCCAGTCCTTCAGTATTCACAGCTGAAGCACTGGAAGAAATGAAGGAATGGAAGAAATGAAGGAAAGTCTTCTCTCAGAACTCCCTTCTCTGTTTGTGAAGAAATTTGATTTAGCTCCACCTAGTTCCTTATCTGAGTTATTGCTGGTTAGTATATTGCATAGCCTGAGTGCCTGAATGACAGTGTAATTCCAAAATGCACAAGTGTGAACTTTTTTCTCAAACATAGTAGTAACAGCAGCTAAGAAGTGGCACTAAAGTAATAGAATTTCAAGTACTTATAAGAAATCTATTGTTTAAGCTAATTAACACAGCTAATCTCAAATGCTAAAAGAGACTGAGAGAGCTAAACTAATCTCAAATGTCCTTGACAACTGAATCTTCCCAGAAAAACTCTTGACTGTTTTTGGTTTTATAGACATACTTCTGGGACAAGAACTTTCTACAATTCTCTGCATATCTCTTTTGTCAAAAATGCTTTTTTGACTTGCTACCTTTTATAAGACAGGAAGTATCATTTTCAGATAACTTCAAGGAACATAAATCATACAGAGTAATTTATACTGTTCTATTTGCCTGTCTTCACTCTTATGTTAGTTTCTAGCAGTACAAACATTCAACTTTCCAGTGAACAGAATGCAAACATGTAACATCCTTTGTTTCCTTTGCACTACTCTGTAATTTAACTACTAACTACAGATCCAAATCTGACTTGGCATCCTTTTCTTCCAAAGTTTTTTGACATATGCAAAGAGCTGTGGTCAATGGCTCAATGTCCGGCTGGAGACCAGTAATGAGTGGCGTCCCTCAGGGATTGGTGGTGGGACCGGTCTTGTTTAACATCTTTGTCGGTGACATGGACAGTGGGATTGAGTGCACCCTCAGCAAGTTTGTCGATGACACCAAGCTGTGTGGTTTGGTTGATAGGCTGGAGGGAAGGAATGCCATCCAGAGGGACCTTGACACGCTTGTGAGGTGGGCTGATGCCAGCCACATGAAGTTTAACCATGCCAAATGCAAGGTCCTACACCTGGGTTGGAGCAATCCCAGGCACAGCTACAGGTTGGGCAGAGAAGAGATTCAGAGCAGCCCTGCTGAGAAGGACTTGGGGGTGTTGGTCGATGAGAAAATTAACATGAGCCAGCTTCAGTGTGTGCTCGCAATCCAGAAAGCCAACCGTAGCCTGTGCTGCATCAAAAGGAGCATCACCAGCAGGTCAAAGGAGGTCATCCTGCCCCTTTACTCTGCTCTTGTGAGACCTCACCTGGAGTATTGTGTGCAGTTCTGGTGTCCTCAACATAAAAAGGACATGGAACTGTGGGAACAAGTCCAGAGGAGGGCCACGAGGATGATCAGGGGAATGGAGCACCTCCCATATGAAGACAGGCTGAGGAAGTTGGGGCTGTTGGGCCTAAAGAAGAGAAGGCTGCGTGGAGACCTCATAGCAGCCTTCCAGTATCTGAAGGGGGCCTATAGGGATGCTGGGGAGGGACTCTTCATTAGGGACTGTAGTGATAGGACAAGGGGTAACGGGTTAAAACTTAAACAGGGGAAGTTTAGATTGGCTATAAGGAGGAAATTCTTTCCTGTTAGGGTGTGAGGCACTGGAATGGGTTGCCCAGGGAGGCTGTGAATGCTCCATCCCTGGCAGTGTTCAAGGCCAGGTTGGACGAGGCCTTGGGTGACATGGTTTAGTGTGAGATGTCCCTGCCCATGGCAGAGGGGTTGGAACTAGTTGAACTTAAGGTCTTTTCCAACCCTAACTATTCTATGATTCTGTGATTCTATAATTTTTCATTGGCTGAGGTAGAGGGGTCCACCAGTGATATGCCTACACTGTACTTTGCTAGAAATTGCTCAAACTGGAGCTACTAAACTGTGACCTATTGTTGCATATTACTGTCACTGATAGACCATGTCTAGTGAAAATAGATTTGATATGCATAGCTTAGGAAACACATCTGATATGTGCTTAGTAAACACATCTGCAGCAGTTGAGAGTAATGCTCCAAGAAAAGCATTTCTAACCAATGTAAATAAATCTCCGTTTACTGTTCCGTGGAGGAGCAATTTGTTCTGTGCTACTAGTATAAGTACTTTCACTTCTTGTTAATTTTTTTTTTTTTTGCATTTCAGGCAATTCTATGAGTCACTGCTTATTTGAGGCCACTAGAAATGCATCCATGTTCCTTTTGTTTACTTTTCACACACAGGACCTTCACAAGTCCTTTAAAACATTGTTTTCTTACAATATTAGGAATCACTGTTCTATTAAATCTTAAATTATTGATAAAGCATATGTTGTCTTGATTATCAGATACAATCTTAATTATTTCTTGCAGACTATCACCATTAGAGGTGGTTAATGCAATCCCAAACTGCATCTTACCTGAAATGAAACGTTTTCTTCTTCCCAACTCATGTTAGCAAATTTGCTATAAACCTTTTTCTATTGCACCTTTATAAATTTTCTAGAAAATATGCTTGTATTAAATTCTACTTCTTCCTATTGTTTATTCAGGAACAAAGAAACTAGAAGGACTAAAAGGGTGTTGGTTATCGAATCCATGCTGTTGTGGATTATCCTTACTTCAGTGGTTAGAAACTACATCTTAAACAGAATGCCTACTCATATCTACCACCTCAAAAAAAGATATGGTAGAATTAGAAAAGGCTCAGACAAGGATAATGACTGAGGGTACAGAATAGCTTTCACGTGAAAAAGAATAAACTGGGAAAATTATGACTAAGGATGAACAACATAAAGATCTATAAAATCATGGAGAGGATGAATAATGACAGATTTTCCACTGTCTCCTTCATTAAAAGTACTGGACATAAGAAAAATCTAGTAACTAACAAGTTCATAACAAACTCAAGTAGTTATATACTCATGCAGCAAGTAGTGCCAAAAGTCAGTGTTGGAAATCCTAAAAGTTTCTCTGCATTCAAGCTGTGACTGGAAAAGTTGATGAAAGAGAAATCCATTCAGGTTTTCTAAATCCACATGATCAGTGAATGGAAATACAACGCGTATTATCTCTTTTCACACAATACAATCTGTCTGAGAGATCTAGCATTACTTTTAGTTTTTCATAGCCACATCATACTGGAATCTCATACTTATCCTTTGAGTAGCTGCCACAGCATCTATCTTTTCCAGCTGATGAGCTCTATGTTAATAACAGAATTTCTTGTCATTAGTTTTAAGTGCATTATCTTATACTTCGCACTGTTGTATTTAATTCCATTTCTATTACACCAGTTCTCAAGGGCTTTCATTTCCATCTCTCTGACACTGTGATCTTCATCTGTTTTAATAACAGTTCCAAATGTTATGTCAACTATCAATTTCATTATACATCCTATTTTATTTTTTGTCCAGGTCACTGATGAAAATATTATATTAGGTTAGCCCTAAAACCATTCATAAAAGTTCTATTAATAACTTCCATCTATTACCATATCTCTCATTTCAACATTACATGTCATTATTGTCTCCTTTTCAATATGGAGTTTCTTACCCATCTTAAGCATCTCATAATTCTTTTACTATATAACTAGCAAAGTAGTGTGTACAGCTAGAGAAGTAGCAGCATACCAAATGCTTGAGAGAGCTGTTGTTTTTCCATTTGTCTTCAAGATGTTTTTCTTGTCAGTTTTGTTTGGAATAGGCATAAAGACCTTTTAAATACCAGGAAGAGCAAGTGACTACAAAGCAATGAAACAACCTAGACAGGAATGAGCCTAAGATCTGCCTCAAACAAGGAAATATCAATGATCAGGAAGAGAATGGAACTGTCCCTGAATTGAAGAAATGGTACCTTGCATGACTGAAGAGTACTGTTGCTCTGCTTTAAGTTTATTACATGGAGACTTGTTCCTTTTGTTTGCACCTGATAAAAGAAGATTATGACACATTCACTAGAGTGGCTGCCCTGAGCTAATACTGCTTACCTATTGCAAATAGTTTTCTTTCTTTCCTGTCTTTATTACTAGGGAGACCATCACATTTGGTATTCTGAACACTTTTCTAATGCAAACCTCTATTTGCATCATTCTAGCCATGCAACTTCAATGGAAAAAATTAAACACTGGAATAGGTTGTCCCAATAAGTGGTGGGACCTCACTGGAAATACTGAAGATCTATCTTGGCAGGGACCTGGAAAAACAAATTTAAGACCAATTTTCAACAGAAGGCTGGATCAGATGATCTCCAGAGGTTCCTCTTAGGTGGTTTTATGTTGCTAAGTAAAATATACAAAAAGAAATCATATAATTTTTTTCCTTGCAATATGAGTTTTGTCTTCTTACAATATTTTATATTGTCATAATTACTGACTAAAAATGTAATTCTGAAAGTATTCTGTTTATTGGGAAAACAGTAACAAATACTATCTTCTTCAATCTAACAAAAATATTTTATTGTGACATAGCTAGAAAGATTAAGATTAGAGATCCTGTTAATTAAAGGGTACTA